AAAACAGGATGAAATAGAAAAAAATAAGGAGGTGAAACAACAATGTGATTGTAATCAAAGCATCACTTTGTTTAGTAGCTTGGCATTCTGTCGCTGATGTGGCACCACTTCGAAATGCATCATTAAAGCCATTAACTTTCATAATTTCCCCAATTTTCTTTATTTCAAATATAAACAGTCTCCAGCTTCTACAGCCAAGTGCTTCGAGACCTCCCGTTTCACAGGGAGCTATCAGATGAATGCTGGGATATCTTAGGGGCTTTCTGGCTGATCGGAACATATTCTAAATGATCCTGAAAAAGTCCTAATGGCAAACACAGGTGGGAAAAGCATTACAAGCCCATCAGAGCTGCTACCAGTCTCACAAAGACAGCTAATGCTAAGAAAAAACATTCAAGGCAATCATGATGAAGTGGGAGAGAGACGCAGTGTGAGAGGAGTGTGTACTTTCTTTGTGAAAGCAAGTAGTTGAATTGTACTTTAACAACTGCTAGAACGGTTAATTAGATGGTAAGTGAACTATGAAAGCAAAGCGGGCTATTGCTCTAATTCCAAAATCGTTCTGCTAATGAGCCTCGCAAAAACAACCATCAGACTATTTTTCAATTATGTGAACCTGGTTGAGCTGTAGTTAAAATCTGAACAATGTCATTTGTACAGCGTGATATTTATTTATTAGACCAGGAAAGCTCCCCCAAGCATTTCCTTTTTCAAAGAAAAAAAAAACACAAAATCAAAAGGTATTGCAAGATTAGTGATAAATACCCATCATTTAGAATGTTTAACAGTTTATAATTAGCAGTACCACACATATAGTTAGATAAATCAGAAATACTGTCAAAATGCATAAGTATTCAGATATTTACTTTGAAACTGCCTTTCTCACACAGAACAACCTCCTCGACACCAACCAGTCTGGTTTCAGAAGTGGACATTCAACCGAGACTGCCTTGCTCTCCGTTGTTGAAGCCCTAAGACTGGCAAGAGCGGATTCCAAATCTTCAATGCTTATCTTGCTGGATCTGTCCGCTGCTTTTGACACGGTTAACCACCAGATCCTCCTGTCAACCCTATTGGCAAAGGGCATCTCAGGAACCACACTCCAGTGGTTTGAGTCTTACCTATCAGATAGGACCTTCAAGATATCTTGGTGGCCCAATCACAAGATCTAACTACTGGGGTGCCTCAGGGCTCAGTTCTTGGACCACTTCTCTTCTCTGTCTACATGGCATCACTAGGTTCTGTAATTCAGAAACATGGCTTTTCATATCACTGCTATGCTGATGACACTCAACTCTACCTCTCATTCCATCCTGATGATCGCTGCTCACATCTCATCATGTCTAACAGACATTTCTTGCTGGATGAAGGACCATCACCTTCAACTCAACCTTGCCAAGACAGTACTGCTTGTGATTCCATCAAACCTATCATTTCATCACAATTTCACCATCCAGTTAGGCACATCAACCATAACTCCGTCAAAAACAGCCAGAAATCTTGTAGTTATGCTTGATGATCAGCTGACTTTATCAGACCACATTGCTAAAACTGCCCGGTCCTGCAGATTTGCTTTATTCAACATCAAGTAGTTTAGGCCCTTTCTTTCGGAACATGCTTCACAACTCTTTGTTCAAGCTCTTGTTCTGTCCAGGCTGGACTATTGCAATGCTCTCTTGGCAGGTCTTCCAGCCAGTTCTGACAAACCTTCAGCAAGATTAATTTTTAATGAGCTGAAAAGAATGCATGTCACACCTCTGTTTATCAGTTTGAACTGGCTACTAATAGCTGCTCACATAAAATTCAAGGCATTAATGTTTGCCTACAAAACCACTACTTGCTCTGCACCCCTTTACCTAAATTCATTACTTAAGACTCATGTGCCCTCTAGAAGCTTGCGTTCTGCAAGTGAACGGCGCTTTATTGTGCCATCTCAAAGAGGCACAAAATCACTTTCTCTGACTCTTATGGTGGAATGACCTGCCCAACTCAGTCCGAGCAGCTGAGTCCTTAGCCATCTTCAAGAATCTTCTAAAAACACATCTCTTCCATCTTTATTTGACCCTCTAACTCTAGCACTCTCTATTCTAATTCTATTCTTTATAAAAAAAATGTTTTCCCCCCTTTTAGACTTGCATTCTTATTACTTTTTTTTATTTATTATACAATTATAATTCTGACTTTCTGACTTCTTCTGATTAGCAAAAGCAAAAAAAGCCTCTAACACTAGCTTGCTCTATTCTTTTTCTATTCTATCTGTTTTCCTTTTATTTATTATGAGATTTAAAAAAATCTTGCTACATGTACTGCATTAAGCTAACTGAGACTTGTTATAGCACTTGCATATCATTGCTCTTTTGTTGATTTTGATTGCTTCCATTGTCCTCATTTGTAAGTCGCTTTGGATAAAAGCGGCTGCTAAATGTCTAAATGTAAAATAAAATGATTTACTGTCTGAATAAAAAAAAAATATATATATATATATTTCAATTATTTACATTCCTTTTTTTTCAATGAGTAAAACACACAACTCAACAACAAAAAAAAAAAAATAGGCCTGAGCTTAAAATATTTTTCTTTGTGCAGTTACACTTAAAAGTGTGTATAGTATATGATCACAATATCACTGATCAGCATTTTGCCATTGCAAATGCATAATATACAATGCAATGTATAATCAGAACTGAGATACTACTGTACTTCTGTTTAATGCATCTTTATTAAGTACTCTGAGAATGTATTTCAACTAATCTTCAGTATGAGAAGTGCAAATCAAATGCAGTGTAACTGTTTCACTCCCAACAGCAGAAAAGTGTAACAACAGATCAGAATTTAGGCACAATATTGCTATCAGAAATTCTTAGTACTATTTGCACACATTTTCAGTCAAAGAAAGGGTTTAGTCTTTGTAAACTACATTATTTGTGGTGATTCTCCAGTTAATAACCCATTTAGGTTGCATTTAGTCTTAACCAACACATTTGAACACACATAGTTTTGAAATCTATGAACCTGACTAGCACAAGAGGGTCTGGCTGCAGACTTGCACTTGCATTCTCAGACTTGCACTCTCAGACACTTGCGCTTCTGCAATTGATATCACTTGCAGTCTTTTTTATTTTGTATTTTGTTCTATTTATTGATTACTTTTTGTTTGAAGCTCTCAACATTTTACAACAGTAGCCCGGTGGTGAAGACAATAAAAAATAAACTAAATTACAATGTCACTTGCACTCTCCGCTACCTGCGACATCACTTGCAATCGACACAAATCGTGCGTGTTGCCAATGGAGATAAGACGCTGTGGTGGTGATTAAATGATTAAAATTAATTTAGTCTACTATAACGTACATGGTCCTGCAAGAAAAAGACACGACCCGCAAATCCGTGGCCACAGAACAGCAGAATATGAACGCAATGCACAAAGTCTCTCATTAAGCGTTTTCCTCCTGGAGAAAAACATAAACACTTAATATGGCTTGATGTATTAAGATACATTACGTGCAATTAAAAGATCAAATTAGATATATTTATTATTTAATGTACTACAAGGCAAGCAGATGGCCATGAACACAATGCACAAACTTTCACTTGTCCTCCCATACAGCAAAACGCTTAATGTGGCATAATAACGGATGATAAAGACAATTCAGTAGCCTATAGATCTTGTTGTTGACTCAAAGTATATACAGAACAGCAAATATGAACGTGCATTATGAAATTCATTAAGTGATATTAAAAGGATTAACTCCATACAGGTAAGCAGACGAGCCCAGAACGCAATGCGTTAAATTGCACGTTAAACATTTCCTCCAATAGAAAATCATTAAAGAATCATTAAAAATCAAAAGAGCTGGAGACAGATTATTCTATATGGAAAAACGCTTAACGCGAAACTTTGCGTGTTGCGTTTATTCTGGGCTCACCTGCTTGCCTGTACATATTAGTTATGTATATTTTTCAATAATGAAGAGGAGCATATTGAGTTTGGTCTTTATCATCTTAGTCCATTATGCCACGTTTTGCGGTATGGGAGGAAATACTACATACATATTCATTATATTAATAAACTGTATATTGAATTTGATATCTTAATAGCATCTTAATACATTAAGCCATGTTAAAGTCCGCGTGAACCGGATGTTGCTGCCGACTTTATTTCAGTGCAGTGACGTATTTCCATCAGAAACGGAATATTGAATAGAGGGCGTGGTTTTATTTTTGCGCTCCTGCTCTCGGTCTCTCACTCATAGCAATTGAACGGTTGGAGGGGCGTGTTTAAGGATATTCTGCCCAAGCCGTCAAACTGACGTCATCAGAGAAGGAATGCCATTTGCGGAAGCAAATGTTCAGATTTTTATTGAAGATTACCAAAACAAATTTTTTTTTTCAGCGGATTAATTTGGCACGGATTAATTGTTCACATCAAGACTAGCAATGTGCGCTAGTAAAGTAAATAAAGTCAATTTTGATTTTATGCGGACTTTAAGTGTTTATGTTTTTCTATGGGAGGAAAACACTTAGCGAGAAACTTTGCGCATTGCGTTCATATTCTGCTGTTCTGTGGCCACGGATTTGCGGGTCTTGTCTTTTTCTCCTACAGATGACTTGCAGGTAGTGATGAGAAGTTTGATTATTTTACCGACTCGGACCTTTGAGTCTCGTTCAGCAAAATGATTTAATCTTTTTTCGAGTCATTTCGTTCATTTGAGCAAAATATAATTAAAATGTTACATGTTACTTTCCTAATACGTCTACTACTAACGCAAACGTTGCTCACACTACAAACAATACCAAAACTGCTATAAGAAACAGAAAAGATGAATTCATTGTTTACCTGGGTCTTCAGTCTATGAATAGCTCACCTCACCTCTTATCTGACACGTCTTTGGGTTTGGGCTTATGGGGCTGTCACGTGATGAATGAACGACTCAAACCCGAAGACTCGAGAGATGAACTAATCAATTCTCTTTCCGGCTCAGACTGCATTGGTTAAAAGTTTATGGGGCTGTCACGCCCTCCACATCCGGAGAGCAGGCCAGATAGATAGAAGTCTGCGCACCTTCCTCAGGGGACTTGAAGAAGGCCCGTGAAGCCAGGTTAAATAGTGGCTTCACCAGCACTGGGATGTGGACATGCCTGCCCAGGTTAGTCTGCACAATCCCTGGGGTGAGAGCATTTACTGTCACTCCGGTCTCCTCGAGTCGGTGCGAGAGCTCCAGAGTGAATAGAAGATTGGCTAGTTTACTCCGTGCATAGGCAAAAGCTTTATCATAGCTCTGCTCGCTGTTCAGGTCATCAACGTTTATTTCACCGTATTTGTAGAGCTTGGAGGACACTACAATTATCCGGCTAGGAGCAGAGCGTTTGAGGAGATCCAGCAGGAGGTTAGTGAGCAGGAAGTGACCCAGATGATTGACGGCAAACTGAATCTCGAATCCATCTTCTGATTTGGTGTATGGACACTGGTAGATTCCAGCATTGTTGATCAGGATGTCAATCCTTGACTCTTCCTGTTTGAGATACAACAGATATGGCAAATTGTAAAGTTATTTCTGAACACAAGAATGAGAAGATGAAAAAACAAACCCACAACCCTAGAAATCAATGAAACTTTATTCTACGCTAATTTAGATACACTTCTCTTCTATTGAGTGTCTATTCTTTTTTTTTTATACACAAGATTTTAAATAATGGGCCATAGATAAAACAGTAGTAACAGCAATACACAATGAAATCTTTCAACTCTCAAACACAATCAACTCTTACATACATCATTGAATATGTATTATATTAGTTCAGTCAAGATAACTGGGACAGTTTTCCAGTCATCCCATTGGCCTAAATTTAGACTATTTTGTTTTAAAAGTTTGTTTTAAGTTTTAAAATATAAATATATTAATTAAAATATATGTTGGCCAACACAATACTGTGGTAATTTTATACAAAACGTTTTTATATATTTGGGGTTTCATGATTATTATTATTTGTTCTATAATGTCTGAATGTTTTACTGTTCTCACACTCTACTGGGACATGCTGTCACGAAAAAAAGTGTGTTAAAGTGTGTTCAGTGAGCTGTATCTGCCCCCCCATTTTTAATGTAGTAAAATAAAAACATTACATACACAATAGTACAATGTTTGTTTACAAAATATATCTACAACAAGAGATCATTAACTATGCCCGTTTTCCCCCACAGTATTGTTTAGATACACAATTTTTCAAAAAGATTTTTTTAAGCTTGCCAATGAATTCCACTCGAAAAAGGTTTCATGCGCGCGCAGCCACGTGCTCTTCCCAAACGTCTCGAGCGTGATATCATTTACATAAAAGCGCGTGACGTTCGCGCACAATTGTTTGGCTGTTGGTATTGTGCACTTGTTCTTAGTTGAAACCAATTAGACCAAAGCGTGCTACGCGTGCCCTATATTTACTGGAGCGTTCTAAATATCTGAAATGAGAAACAAATGCTCTGTGCTTGGTTTGGTGTAACGTTAGTACCTTCATTATCTCTTCGCAAAAAATACGGACAGATTTAAGCGACGCCAGGTCCAAGAGTTTGATCACTAGCTCCCCTTGCTCTGTTCCGGCCTCCTGCTGGATTTCCTGGACTGCTTTCTCCGCCCGTTCTCGGTCCCTACATGCCATGATCACTCGGCCCTGACACCGCAGCAGCTCCGCAGCCGTGGCTTTTCCAATGCCACTGTTTGCCCCGGTCACGATAATAGTTTTGCCCCGCAACATATCGAGGTCTTCATCCAAATGTTTAGAATGGGGTATAGCTTGACTGTTGATCCTTCTGGGGCCATCAACAACGTCCAGTTCATGAGCAGGTTTGTAGGCGTAAACAATCGCACATGTGGGGAAGTAACTGGCATGTTATTGAACTACATTACCCAGAATTCATAGCGGGGTTAGTCGCAACGCATGTGTACTGCTTTTTGGTCAAGCAATGAAAGCGCAAATCACACGTGTCCGCAGTAATCGATGAACAGGGATTAGTTTGAGATAAATTAATAACATCTAAAAAATCCTTGAAATTGCGTTTTCATTAACAATAGACATGAAGTTCAAATATAGCCTTTAGTACAGAGCAATATGTTTAAAGAGAATAAGCACTTGTGTAAGATTTTTTATGTTTTTATTATTTTTTTTGCTAATTAGTTGCCACATAAGGACTACAACATTTGTCAAGTACATAAACTCCTAAACCTCTTTTCCTAAACCTATGTTTGTATTCAAATCTGTGTTTTAGGACTACAAACTAAATAGCTCTAGATAAACCACAAACCAAATAAGATCACTCATTTATGTTATCATAATGAATAAATCCAGTGTTTAACAGTCAACAACACATTTTTGTTTTGTGGACAAAACAAAATTAAACATACATACACCTCATGGTAAACACACAGGGATGATACATTGTAAATACAATATATCCGTTTCTTCACACTCTTATCCTTATTTCAGTGTTTTAGTTCATTTATTATTGTGGCAAGGTCTGTCAGGAACACTGGTGGTGGACAACACACACATCAGTGAAGGAAACTGCCTGAGGATTGAGTCTGAATATCAAAGTACAGCAGTGAAGAAGTTACAACAAAACATCTAAATGTAGGTAAACATCTGCTAAATTTACCTTGAAGAATAACATCTTGCACTATAAATAAAATACCGATAGTTGCAATGTATGGACCCTGAGGGTAAGCGTGATTTGACCAAGTACAACATGTTCCTGGATCAACATCCTTGTTGATCCTGGAACATCATTCCAATCAACCAATCAGAATTGAGTGATAACTTTTCAGGAAATGTCAGTTTTTCTACACCCTTGTTAATCAGCTATCATTTCCCTCTGATTTTAGGAAACAATTATGGGGATTGGGTTAAGTCTGTATTTTTGGACCGTAATGTTGATCCAGGAACATGTCTTACTTGGCAAAATCACGGCGACCGTTCCCTGAGATAGAATTAAATATTCTAAATTAAACTCTTGATTAAACATCTTAAAAAATCATAGTGATCAAGGCATACAGATTGGTAAATGCATCTAATTGCACATTATTCTCTTTGGAAAAAAAAAGAAAGGGCTGCAGCATGTAGTTTAACCTTACAGTGCTGACGCATTAGTACAGTACATAATATACTAGATCATTTTGAGCACCTTAGCGTCTTTGTATTTATATTTCCAGCAATTCATTTAACTTAAACTATCTGTATAGATCAAGGTTCAAAACTCTCTGATGCAACCAAATAAATAAATACAATTACCTATAACTTGCAGAGACTTTCATGCATGTGCTTCACTTCCCTGCTCATTATTAATATAAGTAAACATTTATATTTTAGCTGTTGTATAGATCAAATGTAAGACACTAAATAGGTGTTGAGGTACCTAAAGAATTGGGACATTTGCATTTGATAATCAAATCTTTTCATTTTTTTCTGCATCACTTGTATCTATGCATTTCCCCTTATGATACTTCTGTCCAATCCCATAGGGCACATGAGCGGCGATTGTACCAAGCTCCTGGGCACCCTCGATGTGAAACATCTGATCATCAAAGAAGATGTGAGGCCTGATCTTCTGTAAGAGAGGACCCTTAGGAGCCCCAGCCAAAAAGAGGGCCTCGTCTACCTCCAACCCCCAGCTCCGTAGGGTCTTCAGAACGCGGGCCCCAGCACTGGCAGCACTTCGAGCTGTGACGAGGTAAGTGCGAATAGGGCAGCTGTTTCTTTGGTTTTTTGCATAGAACTTGCGCTGGAGTTTACCCAGTGCTTCCAGGAAACATTTCAGGGGGCCCTAAAAGAGGATGATGCAATGCCAAATCAAGGATAAAAGGGACATTGCATACTCCAAACACGACATGGAGAAAATATTAGTAACAGTATTAATAATGAACATTAGAAGTTATGTTACCCAGTCTTAGTTTACCTGAGCAAGAGGCTTGTTCTCAAACTCTTTCTCGTGCCTAAAGAAAGTGTCCAATCCGTGTTCCTTTACAATAATCTCAGACTCGTCGGAAAACAAAACTGCATCTCCATCGAAGGCTACACGCAATTGCGTGTCACTGAGCTCATTCTCACTGTCGCAGGCGAACATTGTGGCAGCTGCTATTCCTGTGAAAATGGCCATTTAAAGCAAATTTTGCTTCATGTTCAGCTAATTTAAAGACTTTAAAGTTTTTCTTCTTCAGTGAAATGAAAATCCCATTTAGATCACAATGCATACATTTTTTTAAATACCTTCTTCGATAGCTTCTTGTACCTTCTTTGAATCTTTGGACAGGTAGAGGTTGGTCATATAGGCCTTTAGGTAACCAATTGGACTCTCACCACCCGTCATGCAAAATCTCTCTATAGTTAGATCTGCAGAGAGAGAATTTATGTAATTATTGTTTGTATAGTATGTAGAATGCAGTACATATGCATTTGTGTGCTGCAAACCTTATGAAAAAATTATGTAAATCATTGTAGTGGTCTTTATCCAAATTTTGATCTGTGTGCCTGCACAGACTTTTTTCCTATTTTTTTTTTCTTGGTGCATGTTGGTCTATGTCTGTGTAGAATACAGATCTTTTAAAGAATGAAATGATGTTCGCTATCAAAGGCTAAATTGTAGGCTAGTAAATGTTATTACCATAATAATTGATGCTGTTGATGAGGCGAACTCCGACCTGGGCGTGATTATTAGTCATCAGCACAATATCAAACAGCTCCTCGCTGTCTGGGTATAGTTCTCTCAAACGAGCATTTACATTCATCAGGGCCTGTCGATTAGAAAAACACAGTAAATACTAAAGGCATGGCCCTTGATATCTAAGGATATCCACGTTAGGCAATACTGATGTGATTAATGGAGGATTAGTGTAACAATATATGATATTTTTTAGCCATAAACAGTGGGCAGGACACAATAATGCTGTTATGTTTGAGTCTTGATTGTTAGTGTTTGAGTCCTGCCCTGCAATAAAAAGGACTAAAGTCCATCCATGAACAAAAGTGAAAGGACACATTTGTTTTCCATGTTTCTCTACAAATTTTCCCGTAGATTTGCATCAGTGCAAATTTAATTGGCCCTAACTGGCCCAACCAGCTTATCTGATGTGTGTCAGGTTCATACTGGAGTACCTGTGCTAGGGGTTGTCAGTGTTGGTTGGTTGATCCGTTCATTCATTCTTTCTTTTTTTTTTCTTACTATTTGTGCCAAAATTAAGAGCTGTCAGTGCTAATAAACAATTTCTATACATATACACTATTCTTGTGTTACACCAAATAAAGGAGTTAGATCAAAGGTAATCAAATTATATTACCTAAAAGGTTTTATCTACATGGTTATATTACTGAATACAGTTTTTAGTCATGTCATTTGTAATCAATACCAAAGGAGATTTCAGGAGTAATATACCTAGATGATGTGAACCGAGGTGTGTTGCGAGGTGCTGCTATAGAGTGCATCAGTCGGGTTCTGAACATAAAAAAAATCCAATTCATTTTTTCCATAGGGGAATTGATTTTGAATGATAATCTAAAAAGCCTGACCTTCTGAGAGCTATGAAGTTGTAAATCAATGCTATATGCATGCGATGGTATATGTATGCATAGCTTTTAAATAATCTTGTTTAATAGTAGTATTCCTGCATGGTGAAAAGCTATATTACTCATGATTCTGCAAAAAATCTACCCAATTCAGAGTATTGAAACAAACAAATCATGACAAAATAACTATTCAGAGTAAAAAGTTTTTCATTTGATTGTCCTTCACAATGCGGGATTGAAGCGATAAAGCTGTACACATACTTCAAACCAAAGTCTTCAAATAACAACTTAAAATAAAATAAAAAACAAATAATGGGAAAAATACTGAAAAGTTGGGGTGGCCACCATTGCACTCTATATACAAATGTCCAGTTGCATTACCTGTGGCATCAGGTTCCTGACAGGTGCTGATGGAGGTAGGGTGAGTGTTATGTTCAGACAGCGTTAGATCGTTTTGGAATATAGTAGTACCATTATTTTACATATTGTTTGAAAAATCATTTTGTAGTTCTTAAACCTGTTGTTACCTTAACGAAAGGAAACGAGACCCCTGGGGTAAAAGGCTGGTCCTCGAGCTCCAGCTGGTGCGCGACGTACCTCTCCAGCCCCTCCTCTTCAAACACCTTCCTCTCCTTCACCATGTTAAACAGCGTTCGCGAAGACACCGCAATGGTTACAGCGTTGCTGGGTTTGGGCTGCAAGTTAAAAGCAAGCAAATGTTTACAACAGCTGTAGACGACAGCCAAGCTGCTCTATGTGGTCAGTTACCTGTAGCTATGTGCAGCGCTGCTGTACGCACCATCGATTCTGCAAGCGAAGAACGCGCTCGCTTTCAGTGTAGACAGCTATCTTTGGTATAATATAAGCTTTTTTCTAGCATTATTGCTAGCATTGTAGATTGGGTATCGGATGCGGGAGACGCTGCTGTCATTCAGTTATTGTACACAAACAATCTCTTACCGGACGGGGCTTCTTCGTTGTTTTCGCGTTGTCAAATAATGCTTTGACAGCTGCCCAGTCTTTTTCTTCGCCGTTGTCGGAGTTGGACTGTCCTCCTCTCTCAGTGCCTTCAGGTTTGCTCATAATGTTATGGTGGCAGACTGGCAGGGAGACTGTTGTGTCCTGCGTCCTTTGCTGCTGTTGTTCAGTTCCTCTCAGAGTCAGCATCAACACGACCCAGTGACGTCACAAGCCCTGGGCAAGTGTCTGACTTAGGCTATCGATTTAAAAAGCTACATATATAAATAACTGATTCATTAAATATTTACATCGCTCCAATTTCTCATAATTCTCTAAAAGTGTCATTGTAAATGTACTTCACTACATCATTTAAATGTAACATTTATTTTGTCTGGAGACAGATGTACTTTTAGTTACCATGTGTTGACATATCACAAATAGCCTAAATATAAAATAAGATAAAGGTTAGATGCTCATTAATCTGGAGCTATAATTGTGTAGAATTAGTTTATAATTACAGTATAGTAAACAGTAACCGGCCTTTTACTTCTTATTTATATCTATACTATTTGCCCCAATTAAATGACACATCTTGGTTTAGAAAAAACAAACAAACAAGAAAACTTGTCCTCAGAGTAAAGGTTAAAAATACCTTCTTTATATGATAAAAAAAGAGAGAAAAATAGTGTCTTCATATTCTCTGTTCATTAATAGGAAGAATCCTGGACAAAGAAAAAGCCATTTAGAAAATGATTTATTGATTCATTTCACCATTAAAATATAATCACCAGCTCAACAATACCTTAAAATCAGTATTTGCCTTAATTTAATTTACACTAAGCCTTAACAAGACTGGAAATAATTACCAAATGTATCCTTCCTGACATTATAGATCATGTTGCAGAAGAAAGTATGGTTCTGTATGGCATTGTCACCCCTTTACAAATAAGATTAGGCTTTATTCGCACTCATTCCTCACACCATAAGGTACATGGGCACCAATAACCCTATATTGAAGGGCTCCATTAACATGTGACATCTGGTCATTAAGGAATATATGAAGTTTGAGTGCTTTCAGCACAGCCAGTGTGTGTTGTGATTGGCACCACTCGGCGCCTGGTCGGGAAATGCCATGCCCCTTACCATAGCCGCCTGCAAGCTTCAGTGTAAATATTCCGTCATAATCAAATCAATTTGAGCGTGATTTAAACCCCGATGATTGTAACCACTCTAAGTTCGTCTGCCTTGGGAAAGCTAGCATGTCTCCGGCATAGTGATAACACTCGTTGCCTTCTCTAGTGCAGCTCAACCAGGTCTCGTCCCATTTGTCGATATTTGTGATATCACAAATCCCGGAAAATATGCGTTGTAGTCTAAACGAGTCGTTCGTTGTAGTTTTTGAAAAGTGATTTCTGTTAAATAAAATCTCTTTTTTTTTACTTTGTAACCTTGCAGATCGTTTTTTATGCTCAAACAGCAACATTACAGACTAACTAAAGTTGAAAAAGTGAAAAAGCATAATAGGACCCCTTTAAAGAATAGCAGAGTCCACACCACAACTATGACGATAAAGGCACAGAGAAACCATATCGTTGGAATCACTTTTAGAACAATTTTTTTTCCAGCTGATGAATGATAAAAAACATTGACAGCCAATCAGAATCCATCCTGCTATAACGAGCTTGAGAATTTAAAGGTGACATATCATGAAAGTCTGACTTTTACTGGTTTTAAGTGCTATATTCAGGTCCCCGGTGCATCTACCAACCAAGGAAACATGAAAAAGATTAACCCAGTAACTTTGTTTCGGTCAGCCTTTTTCTGCAAGCATCTGAGAAACCGAGTGCGTCTGATTTCACTCCCTTGGTGACGTGGCAAAGGGATCTCATTATAATATTACCGCCCCTTAAACCTTAAATGCATGAATGTTTCGCCAATCATTATAACATATTCGGGTCTTTAGCGACCCAGACCTATATATACAGCATGGATTGATCTCTAACTGCTGCAATAGCAAAAAACTCTCTTGATATTTTCACAGAAGAATAAAATAAAGCATATTTTGTTACCTTTTGAAACTTAAAAGGGTTCAATTTGAGCAGATGATTTTACCATCGCTGTCATCGTCAGAGTGCACTTCCACAGTACATTCAGCATCTGGCTCATATTCACGATATCAGCCATATTCTCAAAACTATCGTTTTCAATGACTTCATATTTAATATTTTGATCACTGGCAGCTTATTCACCACATCCAGCATCAAATGACAGTGACATTTATATTTCATTGCGTATAGTAATTGCTCTGCAGTAAAGCCATTCAAACCACTTCAATTTTTGCTGATGATATTCGTTTTTTTTATGCCTGCAGTAATTATGAGTGAAACGTTGTCATCATTGTGTATCAAACAGTGCCACCTTGAGGAAAAAAAGATGCATTGCACATATTGATTCATCAGATATGTAAATATAGTTGCGCAGGGAAAAAATCCTTACACATTTACATACCTCGGGTCTCTAGCGACCCTATACCCTTTTTTTTTTTTTTTTTTTTTTTTTTACAAAAAATGAATCCGAAAACTGGCATTCTTTTATATTTTACTATTTTTTTCTTGTTATATTGTTTATAATTAATAGATTGAGGAATACTAAGAAAGTTGATGTCTAACTTAAAAAAATGGAGGGAGAGGGTAGAGAATGATGTCCCGAGGTATGCATTTAAGGGTTAATCTGTAAGTTTACACCCACAGCGCCATCATTTGATTTCACATGCGACAATGGTGTACCAGTTCTAATGCCATAGCGAAAGTTTGAGCAAAACATGCTAACTGTTCTGTCTTTGGCTGCACAGACGAGTACAGAACACTATTTAGAGTCCCAGCCTCAGAGCAGGCAAGAGAGCAGTGGATTTATTGATTTATTTACTGTATATTGCTGCTGCCACACAGATCTAAAATAAACATGCAATTTATTTCCCAGCCGTTTACCTTCACAGACATAACCAACTGTTTTTGTAACTCGTGTGTTTTTAACGTAAACTTGTGTGTGAATGAGAACTTAGTTTAGTACTCACATGCTGTGACAGCCGCTTTCTGTCCGTGTGCTTCGGATGAGTGCACTCAGAAAACCGTATATCACAAGTTTAAACTCATATGGTTTAAAACGCGTGATTTCAGCACGATAAACATGATAATCAGAACCAAAACAGATGTTTTTAGCAGGTCCAAGCTGTAATGATGCAGCTCTATTCAGGAAAAGGGGGCGGGGCGCAGCAGCACATTTGCATTTAAAGAGACAGGCCCGAAAAAACAGCATGTTTCTGCTTCCACTCAAAATAGGCATTTTCAAGATATTATAAATGATCTGTGGAGTATTTTGAGCTGAAACTTCACAGACACATTCTGGGGACCCCAGAGACTTATATTACATATTGTAAAAAGGGGCATAATATGTCTCCTTTAAAGCAGCAGAGGAGCGTGCACTTACAGATGATATTGTTCGATGTTGTGGATGCTAATATCGTTATCTTTATAGCTATCATTCTTGGTGTGAACGGGGCTTTATGCTGGTTAAAAGCAGAGGCGGACAAAGTACACAACTCCATTACTTGAGTGAAAGTACAGATACTGCTGGTCAAATATTACTCCATTACAAGTAAAAGTTGTAAAGACAGATTTTTACTTAAGTAAAAGTACAGAAGTACTTGCTTTTAAAAGTACTTAAGTACCAAAAGTAAATTTCCTTTTTTATGTCAGTTTTATTGTTGTACGTACTAGTACTTGCAATACTTTGAAGCAACTTAGAATACATTACACCTACTGAATACACTGACTAGCTTGTAGTATCTATGGAATAAAGAGCTTTTAAAATGTTAAAAACCTATGGGGAAAAAACGAAACAAAAAAATTATTATTTATCACCATTACAGCCCCACAATAGCAGGATGGTAGTGATCTCACACAGCTCTGGACACATCTATGTGTAACCATTCATCCACATTTGAACAGAGTGGACAGTGAAATTGCTGTAAATACAGACCGATAAGGAAGAAAATCAAAAATCAAACCTGCTTTAAAACCCAGCAACACAACTGTAGCTGTATAACTTTACAACAGCAGCTTTGCTTTAACAAAAAATCAAAACCGCAAGACCTATTTGACATCACAAGAAAAAATAAAAAAATGCTGTCTAATCGCTCTCGCTGTACTTTGATGTCATACACAGAATGGTCTGTAGTGCTGCTTCAGTCAAACACCTATTTTGTTTTATTAGGAGACGCACAACAGTTCTTCTGTGGCTTTATAGGTAATATTTTCACTTACACAATTTTGCAAAATCAGACAATATTGTGTCTAATATAAACCACAATATTAACTTCTTATTATTGAATTTTTGTAAATAAATACCACATTTGGAACTGGTCAGTGCTCACAAAAAATGCTGGGAAATCACTTCATGTAGCCCCAAGAGTGATTACTGATAAACTGTCTGAAAAAAAGACAGTTTTTAGATTAGAAAAAAAAAAAATCACCCACTGACTTTCAAAGCTGCTAACGACTTTCTACTTCGAGGACCTTTATAGAAATGTAGTGGAGTGAAAAGTACAATATTTGTCTTTCAAATGTAGTGAAGTTAAAGTCATAAGTTTCCAGAAAAAATTATACTCAAGTAAAGTACCGATACTCAAAAAGTGTACTTAAGTACAATACTCAAGTAAATGTACTTAGTTACTGTCCGCCTCTGGTTAAAATTACTTGCAAAAACGGCTAAGAAAAGTGAACATTGTTTTGAGAATTATTTCATAATGCAGCAGTATTGGCAATGCAGTATATGCTGTAGTGAGTAAGTAGTAATATAAAGGAAAAGAGGGCTGTATACATTTGAAATTGCTCTTTGACAAAGTTAATGTTAAAAAAAATTATAATTGAAAAAAAAAAATCTTAAGGCATTGATGGCCTCTTTAACATTTCGTGGGTTTGTGGACGGGTAGAGAACAAGCTTGATCTCATTAAGATGAACAAAGAGTTTTTTTTTTACCAGTAATCTCAGATTTGATCAGTGTTCAGATCTGCACAGACAGCATCACAACACTGGGTTTAGCAAAATAACATGACATCTTATTTTCTTCAAGTTTCTGTTGAAATAAAAGAAGAAATATGATTCTTCTTCAACAGGAAGAAGGATACAGGATAGTTCACACAAAAAAAACAACAACTTTTTTTTCTTTTTGCATGGACCACAAGAGAAAGTTTTGTATGTTATAGTGTAATAAGTATAGCCATGAGATATCCTAATGTGAATAACAGGCTGCATGCATTTATATGGGAAAGAACACCATTATTGTTCTTCAGAAGTATGCATGTGTTCCATGCAAAAAATAAAGTTTTGGTGATCTATTCATTTCTAGTTACTGTATAAATAAATAGAAAAGCACTCCTCTACTCTTACTGTGGTTTTCAATGCTCTTTTTTAGGGGATCCATGTCCTGACTGTTGGTAGGTATCAACACAATTTTAAACCACTCTTTAACGGCTGGTTCCAGCTTACTCAAACGTTGATTCACCATTGTAAGAGCCTAGAGCAGAGTGATCAAAATACAGTGTAAATGCAAACATCTGTATCAAATTAAACCAACTAGTTGAATAGCTTTTATATCTTTGCTTAACTAAGTTAGTGTTGAATAGTGTCAGATAGAGAAAATAAACTTTTTTTATTTTAATTAAAAAATAATAAATGTTTTCATTAAAAAATGAAAATAAACCTCACATACACAATACTGTATATACAAAAAGCACTGGGTCTACTGGTAAGATGCATTACTGATTAATACAGACAATATGCTGTTAAAATGGAGGAAAATACATTTTCACTGTAATTTTTTTACCTTGACAAATGGAAAAGCAACTCCTGGGTAGATATATCCTGTCTCTTGTCTGAATAATGCACATGGAGACACAGCAATGGTGTATGGTGTCACTGAAAAACAAAGATGCAGGTTGGTTACAAATAATTGATTTTTAGATAATAGTACAACAGTATTATTAATTAGGAAACTTGAACACAGCTTGTCAGCTCTGAGGAATGATTTTGTTTTCACGATATTGACGTTGCTGTGTTTGTTGTTTGATTTCTGTTCTTTGCCTGTAACAAAATACATTTTAAATGGTAGGTGTGTCATATAAAGTTTTTTTTTCATTCTTTACATGAACCTTGATTTGTTTAAGGATATGGTGCAGATGTTCCGCAAAGTAACACACTGGAAAATGAGAAAACTGAAAGCTTTCAAAATAAAATGTGAATAATGCTGCCAGATTTTTATATATTTAAATAAATACCTTTGGTTTGTTGAATTAATTTAGCTATTATTATTAACATGTCAAAGCTTGGCAATTCAACACATCATCACAGTTCAGCTAGTCATGACCATCTAGGTCAGCCAGGATCTTTGGGGTATTGATGGTCAGATCTTAACGCCACAGATCTCATCATTATAATGCAGACAAAGAAACTATTATTTAAGGAAGGAACAGTGCAAACTATTGATATCGGTATTCATAGTATATTTCAAACCTATGGCCAATGTGTGCGTGTATGCGTGACCCAGTGCTGTCCATTTTACATGCAAAGATGATGTTTGCATCTCATGGAATGTTCCGGGATGAATACAATATTTGTTCTATCAAGAGTATCTGTCCCATGCTGTCTCTTACTACAGAAAATAATTATTCGTAACTCTATTTAAATAATAGATTTTGTATGCAAAAGCATTTTCTTGGCCAACTGCAAAGTATACTACTTTTGTAACTTTTGTATACTACTGTGATGTATATTACATTCTTTATATTATTTTTTTCTAAATGAAAGTGGCAAATGTCATGTTAAGGCATATTTTTATTTCTTTCTTTTTTTCATTTTTCGTAGTTTTAATTATTGCAGTTGCGATAAATTAGTGATGGCTAGTACGTTTAAATTAGTTTGTACAGGTGTTTATATTTTCTTAGTGGTACTTTCTTCTTATTGCCCATATGTGTTTATTTAACACAATATTTTATGTTCACATTCTTACATTATCAAGTGATTGCATGCTCCATGACTGAATTGATGTTGTTTGGCAGCCAGTCAGATGCAATTGAGATGATCATTAGCTTTATCTATCAATGGAAGAACAAGATCTTCAGCAGGATTTACTGGTTAATTATTATTAAGGATTACAGTCAATAGTGAACAGTGCATTAAAGAGATTACTATATATGATCATGAGGAAGCTCAAAACAAAGCTATTGAGTGTGTCCCAGAAAATCCATCTCACTCTGTCCTTGTTTCATTCTCCATATATTATTCATGTAGTTCAAACATTTAGTCCTGCTCTCTCGTTCTTTTTTAACATGTCCCTTTTTCTACTTTAGCTGTGGTTAGCCTGAAATAAACAAAACACTTTATAGGCCATTCCAGTTTCTGTGTATATGTGTGTGCATTTATTATACAGTGTTTTTTGAAGTTAATGTACCATTAAGCCTACATCTGGTTAATATCATCAGAACATGTAACGAGACTGTATTACATCTTGGATTTTTTTTCAATTGAGTGTGTATGTGAGTGTATTTAAATGTGTTTCCACGCAAAAATACATACTTTTTATTGGAGTGAATACTTTACTTTCTGTTAAAAATGAGAGCTCTCACTGCTTTCTCAGACTTGGAGCAATGATGTAATTGCCCATAATCCTGTGGGGGTATCTCTCACTTCACACACACTAACACACACTTACACACAGAGGCACACCTGGGAATCTCTTACACATAAATGGAGGCTGATTTCTGTCATCAGTCCTGATTCTGTTTCCCGCTACATAACACCCTCTGTGGTGCGGCCAGCAGCTGCCGTTTATTTAACTTGTGACTAAGGCCACAGAAATGAGGGTTTATAGTGGATGCAGAGAGAGAAAAGCTGTTCTACAAGTTGACCTGAGATTGAGGTTGAGAATGGCTTTTGGTTTTATTTCGATAAGATTATTAAGAGTGAACGTGATTGTCACAGAGTAGTGGGAACATGTAATATTTTCTATGATCCTGTGACAAAACACTATTTTCGTGCTTAAATGCATGAAATAAGTCTACTGTACAAGATAATTTCTTAGTATTTCTAAGAGCAGGGGTTTTCGAAATGGGATCTGGGAACCCCCAGGGGGCCTGCATCAGAGTTCTAGGAGGTCTGTGGAAGATTTGAAAGTCTGTCAAAGTTTGAAAATCGCTGTGGAACAATATTTATTGTGAAGCACACTATACAAGGTTATTTAAACTGAAAATGTTTCTTTTAAGTTGTATACGTCTAACCAGTTTTGTTAATGTTAACTGAAACTGTTAAAATCCTTTTATCATCAATTAAAAAAAAATCACTTAATCATTATTTTTTTCAAATAAAAATGAAACAAAATACAGTATAAATATTCAATGAAAAATATGAAATATAAGTTTAATTTAAATAGTAAACTAAATAGAAATATAAAAAACAAACATGACAAAAATATTAATCAAAATGTTAATAAAAACTATAAAATAAGGCTAAAATAGCACTGCACTCTAATAGTGTGGAGAAGAGAAGATACTGAAAAAAATGCTGTCTATTTTATGCAAGATATTTTAATGTAATTTGCTTTGGCTTCGATACAGTAACAACATAAAAGCCTCATTTATTTCATTTTGTGAACAACATGTCTTTATAATATAGCTTTTTTTTTTTCTCGCACAGCATAAATGTCATCTTTATATTTTAGGAAAAGTCATCATTTTGGCCATCCTTGGCATCAACTATATTAAAAACCACTAGTCTGAAGTAAACAGTAGGAAAGCAGGTCCAACTTCTGAGTAATTTCTAGAAAGGTCAAAGGTCATATTAAATCTAAACTCTGACCGTCTCAGAATAAGTGTAGTTGACAGCTTATTGTAAACATCTGCCAATAGAAGTTTGATATATCAGCCAAAATCACTAACGTCTTTACTCTTTTACAGTGTGTAAGATTTTAAAGTCCCATCCAAGTCACAAGCGGCTGCCTTTCAGATCATATTTAGAGCATATAGCTGGTCTTCATCAGAATTTGTGGAAAACCTTTGTAGCGTTTTCACCCTTCGTTGCAGTAGAACTAAATTATGATTGGTTTGATCAACTGAACTGAACATTCATAGCAATTAAAGAACCAGCTTGAAATCTGCCTGATTCCCACGATCCGCCCAATGTTCCCCCATAGGGCCAAGAACCCAAATACGTAAAACAGTTAGAAGTCGGTTTGTCATGTAGCTAATAAAAACCAGCTTTAGCCGAGTTAACAAATGGGCTGGCTGACTGAAGTGGTCGTGGACTGTCAGTGACTCTGGCCGGAGCTGAGCTGTGATTAATGATGGTGTTTGGTGGTTTGCTAACCCTCTCCTCACTTCTTGTGCTCCCATTTAACTTCTCAGGGTGAAGAGTGCTGGTCTGGCATCAGTGTTTTTCAGTTTGTGTTCTGACAAACATAATCATATAGAAAACTGGGAGCTGATTCTAGATCCAGAGGGGACGCTTGACAGATATGAGCCCAGTACTGATGAGGATCAACAGTGACCCTGTTAGCACTCCGTCCTCTGTTGTCTTTAATGTCCACTGGAGACTGTAGGCCTGGTGTTGAATGGTTTATAGAACTGGTGAAATGCAGCAGTACAAAATCAACCTTTAGAAGGCTTGAATTTAGTAAGCTAGTTTTGGAGTAAAAGCTAGTTCTTAACATTGTGAAATTATGTTGTTACATCTGGAAGTTGGAATATGTGCACCTAAAAGTAATAAATACTGACCGGGGTTTTGACTCTCTTTTCAGTGATATATATTTTGTGATAATATAAGACAAGATGTTTCTTAAAATTAATAATAATAATAATAATATAATTGTATTAAAGCCAAATTCTTAAAATATTATTTAATTAATTATATAATAATAATAATAATAATAATAATAATGATAATAATAATAACAACATTGCATTAAAGCCAAATTCTTAAAATATTATGTAATGAAGTAGGGGTGGGCGATATGGAAAAAATATATTACGATTTTTTAAGAAATTTCACGATTTTATCACGGTTCTTTGTCATGTTGGTTTTTACTATTTTGCAAGTTGTCAGCATTACAGCTAATTTCCATATTATAAAGACAAAGCCTTTCAAGGTAACAAAATATAAAAAAGAATGGCAGATATTTAGGCCAAAGTGAGCAAAGGTAAAAATCTTTGTCATTAAAAAATAAGAACAAAGATATACATTATAAATACACATATTATACAAATAAAACAACAGTGCTTTATTTTAAGGTACAATAGGTGCATTTAGCAGGAGCATTCAAGTAATCGAATGAACAAATATAAAAATAAAACTCTATAGATTGATTCCTATCAAAGCAACTGTATTAAAGTTTTTCAGTTAACAGTAGTGAGTGATTTTTCTTTGTGTTTTGTTGTTTTATTAACATTAAAGGAATAGTTTACCCAAAAATAAAAATTCTGTCATCTTTCTGTCAAATCTGTCAATAGTGTTTTATTTTTAAACCATCATTTACTCACTCAAAATTTGTTTTAAACCTGAATGAGTTTCTTTCTTCTGTTGAACATAATTGCTATTTTGAAGAACGTGGAAAAACAAACAACGTAACAAACAAACAACGCAAATGAAAAGTTTAACCGACAAGGCTTTAAAGCAGATGCAGATAATGTACTTTTGTGATTGTGAATAAGTGCAGTGTACTATGAGATTAACTCTAGCGCTGAATTGACACTGATGTGAATGTATGTCGCGTTGTAACCTACAGTATATTGAGATTGAGACGGAAGCTCCAGAACTGTAACTGATTGAATGTGTGCTGTTGCACGATACGATATTTCTTCAAAAG